CCTAGGAAATAAAGACCACTACAATCAAGTCCCCATTCACAATTTAGTGGAGTTTTTATGTAAAAATCAAGAAAATATCAAACATACTATATCTCAAAAAAGTTCACTTCCCAATCAAAAAGAAGACTCATGGAGTATAAGAAATATAATTTTGCGACACATGTTGCATAAATATTTTCTTCTGCTTATTTGGAAACCATTTCTTCAATTGAGGTAAAAGACAGGTTTTAATGATCTTTTTGTATTGGTCCTGTTTAAATCTTCCATCCACAATGTACAGTTGACCAAGGCCTTTTCCACTAATAACCGACTAAAAGATGACTTTAGAAAGATGTTTAATTGTCTGGATTATAAAATCTTCATTAAATTTTTTTTATTGGAAGCTCTTTCACATATTGACCCTTTTGAGTCATAATTTCTATGGTAGACTCATTGCTGAAGCAAACCTGAAGAAAACAAAATAAAAACAATACTAGCATTGGATTATTAGGGGAAAAAAATTAATTTTGTATTATAATGACTTGCTGATTTCCAGTCATCAACAGTGAAACTACTTTACTTAATCCAAGCGCTTTTTTCTCTGAGAATTGGTTAACTTTGGTTTTTGTGCTAGCCTTCTACTTCTAATGCCCAATCCGTGCGAACTTCGTTGAAAAGTGATTGTTGCTACATTTAGTCCCACCTCATTCAATTTGCTGAGTATGCAGCAAATCTATTTTATTTCACATTTTTGCAAACTTTCTCGCATTCCTTGGTGTTATTTCTTTTTTTTGACCACATTTGCCTTGCCTCTGAATATCTAATGGGAGGCCATTTTTCAATTTGTCTTTGATTCTGTTCACAATGCGTCTTGATATCTCACATTTTCTTGATATTTCATTAATCAAATAATGCTTATCTTTCAGAAGATATTGAATAAATGTTTTTTTTTTTCAGAATTGATGTCTTCTTTTTTCCCCCTTTTTTTTTTTTTTGTTATGCATTTAAAGGCAGAGACGCCTTGAGTTATATATATATAATATATATATATATATATATATATATATATATATATATATATATATATATATATATATATATATATATATATATATATATATACATATATATATATATATATATATACATATATATATATATATATATATATATATATACATATATAGATATATTGTGATCTAACTTGTATATATATATATATATATATATATATATATATATATATATATATATATATATATATATATGTATATATATATATATATTTATATATAATATACATATATATATATATATATATATATATATATATATATATATATACATATATATATACATATATAGATATATTGTGATCTAACTTGTATATATATATATATATATATATATATATATATATATATATAAATATATATATATATATATATATATATATATATATATATATATATATATATATATATATATATATATATATATATATATATATATATATATATATATATAGCATCCGAGTTAGCGACTTTCGGGGACATGGTATTTTTGTTCCCGTTCTGTTACCTTTTTTACTTTTTTTATACTATTTATATCATATTTATATATTTTTTTTAATTTTTATTTTATATCTATTTTTATCTATACATATTTAAATTTATTATTTTATTATAAAAATATATTTTTATACTAATTTTTGTTATTTTTATTTATTTATTTTATATTAAATTTCATTTTTAACTTCATCTATTTACAAAAATGATTAAGCACAATAATATAACCAAATTTAAACCTTGCTGTAACCCTAACGCTATGCCTGACCTTGATGCCTGGTCAAACCAAACCCTCAGTCGATGTAGCAGCACTCCCTTGCGAGTCAGGCTATTTGTCAGTTGATGTATGTACTTTTCATTCTCTATAAAAGTTTCTTACGGGTACATTTTTATCATGCTTATGGGGACAAAAAATTAACAGGTACACTAAAATGTCCCTGATAATGCTAATGTCCCTGTAAGTGTTAACTGTTTATACTCAAAATTCACTTTCAAAAAATTAATGTATCCCCCACACACACACACACACACTTTTATACATCCAAACTACCTCATAACAAATTGGTGACCATCAGCTGACTGGTTATCAAATTAAATATTTCAAAAACTTGATTAGCTGACTAAAAAAAACGACTAGAACTTCTCTGAAGTTCTAACCCTATGCCTGACCTTGATGCCAGGCCAAACCAAACCCTCAGTCGATGTAGCAGCACTCCCTTGTGAAACTATAAGTTCCCTGAAGAATCGCTCCAGGGTGGGAGCAATCATTTTTCTAATCTCATGCACAAAAAAAAACTCTAAAAATAGATAAAAAAAAGTTTATTTTCATAAATAATTATAGGTAAATAAATATTAAAAGGCATAATTTTTAAATTATCTTTCATTATCTTAACTTTTATAAAAATATAAAAGAGTAGAATAATAAGAAGAAAAATAATTTTTTAGCAATTACAAACAAACAAACGAACAAAAAAAATAAAAAAAAGCAAAAAACTTTTTTTTTAATTTAATCATTAATAAATGAATGGGCTAAACATTCTCAGAGCTTAGTTATGGTGCATTTTGAGGATAAGACTGTGTTAGAAACAGAAGAAATTGCATTTTTTATTTGAGAAAGTAACTCCTCTCCATCTGCAACAAGTTGAGACAACTGTTTACGTGCTACTTCATTCTCATACTCAAGTTGAATCAGACTTTTTGTTTGTAACTCATTTGATTTTCCACTTGGTAAAGTCTCTATAATGTAATCTATATCTTTGACAGTTCGTGAAATTAATGTAGCAAATAATTGGGCATGTCCTTCTTGTGTTATATCAAATTCAGTCTTTGGATTTGTATTTTTTTGCAAAGTACAAACAGCAGCAGTTTGCTGTATTACGCCAATACTGTTACAAAAATGTTCTGCAAGTTGATTTAATGCATCCTGAAGTTGAGTTAACCTGTCAGCCATTTTAGTTAACTTTAGAAATTGACTAAAATAACAATTTAATAAAAACTATAATTAGCCTATTCATATATATATATATATATATATATATATATATATATATATATATATATATATATATATATATATATATATATATATACATATATATATATATATATATATATATATATATATATATATATATATATATATATATATATATATACATATATATATATATATATATATATATATATATATATATATATATATATATACATATATATATATATTTGTATATATATTTATATAATATATATATACATATATATATATATATATTATTACATATATTAATCTATATTTATACATATATTAATCTATATTAATACATATATTAATATATATTAATACAAATATATATATATATATATATATATATATATATATATATATATATATATATATATATATATATATATATATATATATATATATATATATATATATATATATATATATATTAATACATATATTAATATACATTAATACATATACTAATATATATTAATACATATATTAATATATATAAAATAATATACATAAATACATATATATATATATATGTATATATATATATATATATATATATATATATATATATATATATATATATATATATATATATATATATATATATATATTTATATTTATGTATATTATTTGTATATTATTTTATTTGATTTTAAACAGGAACAAAGTGTTTTTGTTTTTGTAGATGCTTTTCATAGGAAATAGAATAGAATTTCTATTTCCTATGAAAATAGATTTCTATTCTTTTCATAAAATAGAATCCAGATTTAGAAAGTGGCGAGCACGATAAAGAGATGCAATCTTAGCAGATGTCATTTTTGCAATGGATTTGATATATGTTTTCTAAGAAATATTGGAAGTAAGAGCTAATCCAAGAAGAAGAAAAATAAATGACTCATCTAGTACATTACTGTTCATAAATATAGGAAAATCTAAATTACTGTGATAACAATTGGCTGAAAAAAAATGGGTTATATATATTAATGTAAGCATGGGGTTACAGCCAGTGTAAGCCCATGCTTACAGTGGCTGTAGTGAAAAAGAAGGATTCAATAATCTTAAAGACGTTATTAGATACAATGTAAGAAGAAAGCTTATGGAGAAGACCAGCATGCCAAACTTTATCAAAAGCTTTATGAATGTCAAGAGTGATAGCCGTAACCTCTCTACCTCTATCTAATGCATGATAAAACCTATCCGTTATTATTGTTAGCAAATCAGCTGCAAAACGAGAAAATCGAAATCTATATTGATGATCAAAAAGTAAGTTATTAAATTCAAGATGAGAGATTAAGTGTTTGTTAATTAAAGATTCAAAAACCTTGCTTATGATAGGAAGAAGACTAATGGGACGATAGTTAGACGAGTCAGATCCTTCTCCAGAATTTTTGAAAATAGGAATAACAGCATGCTGAAAAGCAAGACTGTGATAAGCACTTATTAAATAGTCATTAATTTATTAGTAATAAAAAAAAAGAACAATTATAGTAACAGTAATAACAAAAATAACAATAATAATAATAGCAATAGAATAATAATAGAGATTAAAAAATGATAAAACAAAAAATAATAAAGAAGTTATAACTAATTATAATAGCAAATATAATAAAAATAGTAGAAATAAAATTAGTAAAAAAACAATGTGCAATATAAAAAAGTAAAAACTGGAATATCTCAAAAAAACTTTTTTTAAATTTTGTTAAATTCATTTATTTTATATTAGTGTACAAAATATGTATTAAATGTATTAAAATGTTTTGATCAAGAACAAAACATGCGTGTGTTTTTCCAATAACCAATCATTGACATTGTTTTAAAGTTTTGTTTTTGAAAAGAATTTTCAAGATAACCTTTTTTCAAAAGATTTGTATAAAATACATTAAAATTTATTTTATTAAGGCGCCTTGCTAAACTCTCAGTCCTTGTAGCAGTATGCTATAAGATAGTCGATGAAACAACACTCCCTTGTAACAGCAGGCTGTAGAATAATCAACTTATGTACTGAAGCCAATAAATATTCCTTATTTTGATATTAAAAAGTCACTTTAAGCAAGTCTTTACACGAGAGCACAACAAGCAAAAAAATAAAACTATTTTAGACTGCTTAACTATAACTTTTCCAATTTAGTTATTTAAATGTCTATAAATTTTTCTAGAATAATTATTTTGTTATGAAATTTTTCACTATTATAATACTTATTTTAACCTCTTTCCAATGATTTATAATAAGTAAATATGAAAATAGTTTGAAATTTTTACACGCGTACCTAATTAAAGAAAATAGGCAATTTTATTTTCTCCTAACAAAAACCTTTTTTTGTACTCTAAACTATTATTGTCTTTGTGGTTGCATAAAAAACTTGGGCTGAAAAATAGAAAAAACAACGACAAATTCATTAAACTTAGCATTTTATTAATCAAGAGGTTGCATAACAAAAAATAAATATTTGTATGAAAAAATAATTTTTTTTGTTAGCTAATAAAGTCCCGTCATCCATCTGTTACCATATCATGTATTTCAATATTTATTTATTTTCAACGTTAAAAAAATTGCCTTTCCTTTAATTATATCTATTTATCCACAACAGATAATAAAATCTAAATTAAAACTTATTAATAAATGTGGATACTCACCACAGCAGAAATGAAGGAAAGTTTGAATATTTTCCAACTTCGGACTTACAAGGAGCACAATTTGTAAAACATAACACTCTACACATTCGTCCGCAGTACTTTTAAGAGGGGGGCAATGATTTATATAAACTCAATGATATATTATATAAACTAGATGTCTAACTGACGGGACAAAAAATGAAGCCGCTTTTTTTTGGTTATAAATATAGTCCATTTGTAAAAAGGGAAAAATCAGAAGCCGATTCAAAACTTTAATCCCTTTCTAATCGGAAATGAATTTAGGAAACATAAACTATTATTTTACAAATATTCTACTTTCCTCTTAACACTTTTACATAAATAGTATTTATATTAAAAATATAATTACTTCAGTTGAGAAAAGAAAAGTTAAATAATATTTGTTTACAAATCCGCTATTTGTAAAACAGGCAATTACGGCTTCCCGTTTCGGATAGAAGTTAAACAACTAGTTTTTTTTTTTTTTTTTTTGTTTTTTTTGTATGTATTTAGGTGCTCCCAGAAGTCCTTACGGTCTTATCATAGAGCACCGCGGGAGAGCATTTAACAGGAAGTTCACGCCTTCTTCCGTACCAATGTCGAGAGCTGGCGCCGAACCCAGGACCTCTGGGTTCTAACCACTGCGCCACGGCTGCTCAAAGTTTATATAAAATATTATTGGTAGGAGCTTATTATTATTATTATATTGGTAGGGGCTGCAAAAGAGTACTTTTTTTTGGACAACTTTAAGTTGTTTGCAAAAAATATGGAAGTCATTAATGATTGTGTAGAAAGATTTATAAAATTGATCCAAGACTTTATTATGTCATACCAAAATAAAGAAATGAAGTAAAATATATGTTGTTGGTTATCAAAAACCATTAAAAAAAATTGAATAAAAATTAGACTAAAACCCAGCTAAATCAGATTTAAAGAACTTGTTATACTTTTTTTAACTTTTCTGTTCTTTAACATTTGTAACATATGTAAAATCACATAACTTTTATTATAAATGTTTAGCAGAAAGATATAATTTTATTAATTACAAATTATTTTTTAAGTTTATTTAAAAAAAGGAAAAATAAAAATTTTTGAAAAAAAATAAGTTTTACGCCAAGCATTTATAACCTTTTAAGTTAAAAAAACCTTTTATATTTGGTCACAATAGACCTAGTAATCAAGTTCAAGTTTTGGTCATAATAATCAAGACCTTGAAATCAAGCTCAAGATAGTGCACATTACTTTTTTCAAAAAAAAATGTTTTGGGACATCCTAGGGCACAACTATTAAAAAGTAAATATAGAATTACTTTGTCCCATTTAAAAATTATATACAAGTATTTACAAGTATGTTAAGATTAGTTACTAATCTATAATCAAAAGAAAATAGTAAAATGAAAATAAAAATAATCAAACCTAAAAGCAAAAGATAAGCTAATAGGATAATTTTAAAAAAACTTAGAGACAAGGTAGAAATAGTTGGCCGTGCTGTAACTTTTTTGGGCCTTGTGCTGTAATTTTTTGGGGCCCTTAAAAAAAAATTTCAATTTTATTGAACTCATTTTTTTATTTCTACAAAATTTTTTTACAAAGAAATCATAAACCGATTTTCCTAGCATTTTTGCGATTGCATTTTCTATTGACAGTATTATAAATCCTCACGGTCTTTGCCGTGAAATTGTAAAACGCAGATAATTTGCAATTAATTTTGAATTATTTTGAATAAGTTTTAAAAATGATCGTTTATAATAAGCAACGGTATTAGGCATTTTTAAAATTATTCGATATACGCGATGCGTATTTGGATATAATCAAGGCCGGCGCGATGGGGGTGTGACACCCCCCCCCCTATCAGTAATTTTTTCGTTCATTTAGTCGGCAAATGTAGACCCTTTCGACAGGATAGTCGATAAATTTAGACAGTCAGTCGGCAAATGTCATTATGGCAATCGGAGAGCAGTCAGCAAATTTTAAAAAACAAGGACCTTATTTTTTGTTTTTTTGTCGGCAAGGTTGTAATGGCAACTCCCTCCCCATGTGACACCTACTCACGCCGGCCCTGGATATAATTCTTCCAAATTCCTTTCGAAAAGGAATTCCAAATTCTCTATAATAGTATAATTATCTTCTAAAATATATCTTAAAATAGAAAGTTCTTTTTGAATTTCTCCTCTTCAACATCATTTTCTAAGTGTATGACCAGATTTGAACAGTTGAATTCATTTGTATTCAAAGTTTTTAGCTTTTTGTTATCGAAAAGAAAACCAAAAATTTGATTTAAAAAATTATACGATTCAAATCGTTCTTGCAAATCTTTTACTTTATCAATTAGTTTATTAGAATAAAATTCTTTAAACTTATCTTCAGTCGTTTGAGTGAGATGGTTTCACTCATCAATTTTTTTTTCACAATCAATTTTTTTTTTTTTTAATTTTTTGTTCTTTACAACTTCATAATATATAATAAAAATCGTTTACAGAGTGTAATAAAATGATAAAAAAATCCACAATATTGAGTTATACAAAGAAATATAGAATAATACTGGAGAGTAAAGCAAAGAAAAACAGGAAGCAGACAAAGAAGTTAAACAAATTTAGCTTTAATACACATAAATATATTAGAACATGATTTGCGGTTCATAAATAGTGGCTCAGCAGGCGAGAGTCTATTCTTATTATAAACTATTTTTCTAGTATGTTTTTGTTTTCAATAAAGACAATTTGGATTTCTGAGTACTCGCCCATGCAACATTAACGTATATATAATAGCTTTGTATGAACAAGAAATATAGGAGTTTTAAATTTTCAAGAAATAGTATAGAACTAGCTTTGTAGAGGATTCCAATATTTTTTGATATTTTGGTATTTAATATATCTATATGGGCTTTCCATAAGATAATATCTCAATAAATATCCCAAGAAATTTAGTTATTTGGATTCTTTAAATTTCTTTAGTATCTATATTTAGCGAAGGTTAATTGGGTGGTATTTTTTAGGTAAGAATGAAAAAAAATGTATTTTGTTTTTTCTGTGTTTAGCAATAGTTTGTTCGATTTAAACCAACTGTTTAGTTTTTCAAGCTAAATTTTCTCCGGTTGATGACATATATTTACAAAGTTTAAGAAATTGTCTTGAACACTTGGCTTTTGGTCTGCTATTTTAACATATAGAATAATGGACAACTGGTCTTTTTTGCAAAAACCTGGTGTAGATTCTGTTATTACGAAAAATTATTTTGATGATTTATTATTACTTACTATTGTATGTAAAACTCTAGAAGCTAGTTGTAAGATAATATCGATTTGACTTTTTACAGAAAAATATGATGTAACTCTTTTTTCTGTATCAGTGATTGATTTTAAATGCATTTTGAGTTCTGGAACAAAACCAGCAAGTAATTCAATTACTCCTAAAAAATTACAATTATTTGGTTCAAAGAGTTTTTCGTTACTGCCCCTAAAAGCTAAATTTCGTTCTCTCGCTTTTACAATACATTTTAAAATTATTTGCCATCTGCATTTCTTAATAGAACACATCTTCATTGAGATAATCTATTCCTGTTCTGCTGATTCAAGATGTTTCTTTTAAGATTCATGTTCAGATCAGGGCCGGGCGTAAGTACTTCTTGGCCTTCCGGCACTTTAAATCTTCTGGTCTCTGATGACCTCCAAGTATTCAAATTTAACAGCGGTTTAACATAAAAATATCTTTACAATTGTTGCTCTATGGCTTTATAAAGTATTTTCTCTTTTTCAATTATATTTCTATAACGTTTTTGTAATTCTTTTTCATCTTTTGTTTAAACTATTTTTAATTTTTATTCCATTATCTTTTTTAATTTCGTTACGTTTATTTTATTGTTGTCCTCTCTTTTAACAATTTGTTTTTTTATAACTATTTGTTGTTTTTGTATTTGCTTGATTTATTTGTTAAATTTGTTTCTTTCTTTTTTCAAAATTATATTCGAACTCGAAATTTTTTTCAAGTCAAAAAAAAACGTCCAGTTTGGGACATTATTTAAGTCGTATGCTCTAATCAGAAAATCCACTTGAAGTTTAGCAGCCGTGGCGCTGTGATTAGAGTTCTGGCTCAGAACCCAGAGGTCCGAGGTTCGACGCCAGCTCTAGCCCAACAAGCGACATTGGTACAGAAGGAGGCGTGAACTTCCTGTTAATTGCTCTCCCGCGGTGCTCTATGATAAGATCGTAAGGACTTCTGGGAGCACGTAAATACATACAAAAAAAAAAAAAAAGTTAAGCTTATCTTTATCAATGAAAACAAACGACAGTAGAAGCAGAAACTTTTTACTATCGAGTTAGGTTATAAAAGCAATTTCTTAATTCCTTTTCACCATTTTTTATTTGTAGGTAAAAAAAGTGTCACTGAAACATCTTCCTTGAGATTTTGTTTTATAATGGATATCTTTAACACTTTTTGGTGACTGCTCTACCAGAAACATCCGTTGTTTGTTGTCGATTTCAACAGGCCATGTGTCAGGATTAAATATATCATAATTGCATTTTGGTTAAGTGCCGCTTTCCGTTTGTAAATTATCACTAATTTCTGAAGTCTTGTTAGATATAATATCCTCAATATTGACGCTATTGGATTCTGATTTACCATCTACATTCTTGTTTTAGTAACTGATGTTTTGAATTTGTGGCTCATTCATATTTTCTTCAACATTATCGTTTTCAAATTGAGATTTACCATTTAAATTGCATATTTTGATTAAAGTAGTGTTCAAAACTAACGAACTGTCGCCTCATTTAAAATATTTATCTAATGATCCAGCAAGGCTATTTAATTCTGCTACTTTCGGGATCTGTTTCGCTCTTTTTTGTGCGCCGCTTTCATAACATCTTTTCGGAGGTAATTAAATGTTGTATGTAAGTTTAAATTAAACGATAAGTGAGTTTAAAAATGTTCACAAAACTATTTAAAAAATAAATAAAAACTAACAATTTGAAACAATAAAACAACAGAACTATTAGGAATATTTAAAAAATATTATTTTGCAAATTAAATCGTGATCAAATCAATCAAATTTTTTTGTTTCCATTTGATTGATTTTTAGATTAAAACTTTTCAAAGGGAAATTTTATGCTGGATTTCATTTTCATTTGAATTG